GCCTCGGCCTCCCAGAGTGCTAGGATTACAGGCGTGAGCCACCGCGCCTGGCCTGCACTTTGGGTTTTGAACTTAACAGTATGTTCTGGAAATCATAATTATAGAGATATTGTATTTTACTTTTATTTTTCTCCCAACAGATTCATAGTACTGCATTATGGGAATGTACCATAGTTTATTCAGTTACTCTCCCATATATGGGCATTTTAGGCGTTTCCCAATACTTTGCAAGGCTGTAGTGAATAACCTTATGACATGTATTTTCATATTGTTGTAAATAATGTCTTCGCTCAGGCTGCTATAATAAAATATGTAAACTAGGTGGCTTATAAACAGTAGAAACTTATTTCTCACAGTTCTGGAGGATGGAAGTCCTAGATCAGGGTGCCCGCATGGTTGAGGTCTGGTGAGGGCCCTCTTCCGGGTTGCAGACTGCTCACTAATATCCTCCAGCATATCACTGGAGAGCGGAGAGGAAACCAGCTCTCTTGTGACTCATGTAAGAGCACTAATCTCATTCATAAGGGTCATAATCCCTTATTACCTCATCTAATCCTAATTACCTCCCAAGACCAGACCCCACCTTGTGATACTGTAACATTGGGGGGAGGGTATCAACATGTGAATTTTGGGAGGACACAAATAACAGTGTATTTTCGGCATAAATTCCTAGAAGCAGCATTGCTGGGTCAGTAGGTAAAGGCACATGTAGTTTTGTTAGGTGTTGCCAAATTCTCTTCTCAGATTGTACCAATTTGCATTCCCACCAGCAGTGTATGAGAGTGCCTCTTTCCTCACACCCTTGCCAACAGAGTACTGCTATTCGTTTTTTAAAATATCATTTGACAGCTTATATGTTTACATTTTTATTGAGGTAAAATTCCCATAATATAAAATTCACCATTTTAATTACTTCAAAGTGTACAATTATTTTTTTTAGTATAGTATATTCACAATGTTGTAAAACCATCACGGCTGTCTAATTCCAGAACATTTCCATCATCCCCAACAGAAACTCCTTACCTATTAGCAGTTATTCCCAACTCTACCCTTCTACTTTATGTGTCTGTTGGTTTGCATATTCTAGACATTTCATGTAAGGAGAATCATACCATTTGTGGTCTTTTATGTCTGTCGTCTTTGTTGTAGCATGTGTCAGTACTTCCCTTTTTTGCGGAACAATATTTCATTGTTAGGTATACTACATTTCGTTTATCCATTCACGCACAGATGGACATTTGGATTTATTTTCACTTTTTTACTATTATGAATAATGCTACTGTGAACATTCACATGCAAGTTTTTATTTGGATATATATTTTTAGTTCTCTTGGACATATACCTAGGAGTGGAATTGTTGGGTTATATGGTAACTCTTGTGTTTAAACCTTTTGAGGAACTGCCAAACCTTTTCCATAGCCGTGGCACCATTCACATTCCTACCAGCAATGTAGTAGGGTTCCAGTTTCTCTACATCCTTGCCAACACTTCTATGTATTTTTTTTAGTGAATTGTCTGTTCATATCTTTTGCCCATTTTTCTGTCACTTCCCCCCCTCATTTTAAGAGAGTTTTTGTATATATAAAGGGTATTAGCTTTTTTCTGTGATACATGATACATGTATTTTTCTCTTCCGTTTTTGTTGTGTTTTGACTTGGTTTATGGGTTTTTTTTTTTCCTTTTTGCTATGGCTGCCATACCTGTTCATCTTTTTTGCCAGATAGAAGATATTGTGGATGAAAAAAATAGTATTTGTGCTTTGATGCCATTTTTCTCTATAGAGGGTTGACCTTTTGCTGGGCAGATAGGGTGAAGCCTAGTCTCTAAATCCCATGCATGATGGATCTGAGCAGAAACTGTGCTCTAGGTTTACAAGGGTCCCTCTCTGCTTCTGTACCCATGTGTTCTTGCTGTGGGCCTGAGGATGTCCTGAGAATTCCTGGTGATAAATGCTGAAGTTCAATTCCTGTTTGCTAAGGCTTCTCTACCTTTGACTATGCTTTCGGAGGCTCCCTCTCACTTCAGGTTCAGAATTCAGTAACTGTCTAAGGAGATAAGCAGGAAAGTGTTTGACTCAATCTCTACCCTTCTCACTGGAATCCTGGGCCCCTCATGGTCATGTTTTGGCCTCTAGCTGCCCAAAGCTCTGCTGGTTTCTCTCTAATGAGTAGCCTTTTCTTGGCTCTTCAGGCTCTTGAGGGTCCCGATGTTGGCAAACGCCTTGTGGGAAAAGGCAGCTGTTAAGTATTATTTCCTCCTTCCATCTGTGTCACTCATATGTCTCTGTCTTAAGCCCTTCAAACATTGTTTGGCTTTTACAAAAATTTTTATTCTGGCTTGAGGCCAGGAGTTGGAGACCAGCAAGAGCAAGACCCTGCCTCTACAAAAAATAGAAAAATCAGCCAAGCATCGTAGTACACACCTGTAGTCCCAGCTCCTCGGGAGGCTGAGGCAGGAGGATCGCTTGAGCCCAGGAATTTGAGGTTGCAGTGAGCTATGATGATGCCACTGCACTCTAGCCCAAGTGACAGAGTGAGACCGTGTCTCAACAATCAATCAATCAATCAATCAATTAATTAAATCTGGATTTCCTGACTTTTCTTAGTGGGAGTTCTAGTCTTACCCAAGCTATTCCTTCATACTGCAGTGGAAGTCCTCTGTTGCACTTTTAAAAATTTAACTGTTTATGCTTTTTTGATTTATTTTCAGTTCTGTATCTGTTTCTCTTGTTAAACAGTGACTTGACTAAGCAGGAAGACCTTGTTTTAATTATAGTGTTTTTAATCACCAATGCCTGGTATATATAATGACTGACTACTCATTGAATTTTTCTTGCATGCAGAAAGAACTTTTCTCGCATGCAGAAAGAACTTTTCTCTTGGGTAAAAGTTTTCAAAAGTAGGCAACAAATTAACAAATTTGGCTTTGCTATGAGATTTTCTCACAAATATAAAGGCTCTGGTAACAAAAGAGGTGGGAGTGTTAAGTTACATTGTTTATAAATAACACTGAATTTCTGACATAGCTGAAATAGAAGTCCTAGCCTTTTAATAATTTGTTGAACAAATATTTATTCTACTATAAATCAAGTACTGCTCTGGGTGTGGGGGACACAGTGATTATTTTGATAGATGAGGTCTCTATTCTCCTTAAGCTCTTTCTGCATATAACATATCATGGAGGGAGAATATAGAACAGTGTTAATATAAATATCAACGTATCACATTGTAATTGGTATTTTTCAAATATTGTACACTGAAAATTATTTTTTTGTCTTAACAGAATATGACAGATACCTAGCATCTAGCAAAATAATGGCAGCTGCTTATCTTGACCCAAACTTGAATCACACACCAAATTCAAGTACTAAGACTCACCTGGGTACTGGCATGGAACGTTCCCCTGGTGCGATGGAGAGAGTATTAAAGGTCTTTCATTATTTTGAAAGCAATAGTGAGCCAACCACGTGGGCCAGTATTATCAGGCATGGAGATGCTACTGATGTCAGGGTAAGTACATTTTCCCATGAGACATCTTTAGTGTATAAGGTTTATTTGGTTAATATGTGATCAGAGTTCTAATTGTTGTAAAATTTCTTAGGAAAATAACAGCCGAATCATATTTTAGTAATACAATGCCATTGACTTGTTCTTCCCTCCTAATTTTTTTTAAAACTCTTGGAAGATTACAAGGAAACAAAGTAATTAAAATAGCCTCTAATACTTATGAAATAAAATAATTTTCTATGAAGTATAATTTTAAAGGTATTTGAATAACTCCAGATAGAATAACTTCTTTAAAAACTGTTGAATGTATGCTATATACCAGACACTAGGTTCTGGGGATGTAAAAGGTCCCTGTAAGATCCTTGGTCTTACAGGTTTGGGCCTATAGGGAAGGAGACATTTGTGGTCTTAATTACAGTATAGTGCAGAAAGTGCCTCACTGAGGGTTGTACCAGGAGTTATGGAAGCCTGGAGGAATAATACCTGACATGTAGGAGTTAGCTCTGGAAAGTGTTTCCTTGTGGGTTTTGGAGGGGGGAGTAAGAGTTAGTGATACAGCATTGTGGGAGAAGAGCTTGCGAGAAGGTAGCGTTGTGATTTCAGAAAGCTGAGTTCCATGTGTAAATTTTCAGAAAGTGTTTGTTCTGATGAAGTGTTAAAGAAACTGCTCCTCCTTCCTACCTCTCCTTCGCTTTAACTCTGTGTTCATCTTAACGGAGAAGCGTCCAGTGACTAGGAAGTTTAGTTATGTCTTTTTTTTTTCTTTTTATAGTAATGAAGTTAATTCATTTGTTACTCTTTAACTTGTTTGCCTTTACTGTTTTTTAGCAAAGTAAAGGGATTAGTAGAATTTAGATGTAAGGCTAAAATCTTGCATATGAATTATATATAATTTTTTGTTACCTCTATAAAATTATAATAACGGACTGTTTAAATGGATTAATTACTAAAAGGAGAATCATTAAGGATGGAAATATGTGTATCTATTCATGTACAAAGTGAACAATGATTGCTGCTTTTTACAAATTTTTAATGAAGCTTGTTGGCTTTTTCTAGCTATTTCTAGTTCTGTGTTTTACATTTAACCTTACAGACACAATCATTTGGTAGAAAGACCTGCAATGAGTGTCTTACTGTAATGTTAATCAGATAATTCATAATGGAAAGAAACCTTATAGATGTAACTTTATAGGAAGGCTGTTAGTGTATGTTGTAGTCTTTGTAAATTTCAGATACAATGAATGAGGAAACTCTTTAAATCATTGCATCAGCCTTAATAAACTTCAGAGCATCCATACAGGAGGGAAACCTTTCAAAGATTATGAATTTGACAAGCCATTTAGCAAATGTTCAAGGCTGATTATATCGGAAAATTCACCTAGGAAAGACTCTGTAACAGATATTCCATGGCTTTAGTAACATACTTTCTGTATGTTAGAGGATTACTACAGAGCCAGTGGGCACTGCAGGCATTTCAGCCTTTAGCCAATGTTAAAAACTTACTAGACATCAAAAAATTCATATTGTGAAATAAAATTTATATCAGATACAAATGCATAAGTTAGGAGAACACATTTATCAAACTTTTATGAAGATCAGTATTACCAAATCTGTGTGGCCAAAAAGCAAGGCGTTTTATGTCATCGTGATTGGTGAATGTTTGAAATTGAATTACCCATATCAGTTGATAATTTTCAATTTGAGGCAGAAAAATCATAGTTGGCCTACCAAAGGCCTTCCCTGGGATAGCATGAGGCCCACATAATACTGGGTCACTGTGATGAAAGATTGGGTATTATTCATAACCCATTGGCTGCTGTAACATTTGAAAATACAGTATCTTAATTGTAAATTAATTAATGGCTAGATCTGCACATGTGAACAAAGAACATATCCATGTCATCTTTCTCCCAATTAAGAAATATCAGACAGAGGAGCCTTATGAATACAGAGATTAACATGTCAGGAAAGAGAAAAATGGAATAAACATGGCAGCATTTGAGGTCCTGATGACTATAGAACAGAAAGGGGTAATAGGTCAAAAATATAAGGGTAGTAACTTGGCAGAAAGAAATGGACTATTTAATAGTAGCAGTGGGGAAGCCATGCAACCATTTTCTGAAATGATACGGCTTATTATTATCTACATTTCCTGAATAATTAGAGTCATTCTTAAACTGTGTAGTTATACTGCCCATTATGGTAACCATGAGCAGTTGTCGAGCACTTGAATGTGACCAGTCTGAGTTGACATGTGCTGTAAGTGTACAAATACATACCAGATTTCAGAAACTTAGTATGGAAACAGAATGTAAAATACCCCATTAATAATTAGTCAGGATAACATGTTGAAATACTTTTCTTAGGTTAAATAAACTATTAGTAAAATAGAATTCACCTTTTCTTTTTATTCTTTTTAATGTGGCTAGTAGAAATTTTAAAAGTACATGTGTGGCTTGCATTGTATTTCTACTAGGCAGTCATGCTCTGTGGAAAGTAATTATCAGAAAGACTGCTTAGGTCAGAAGAAGCAAAACTTTTGAGGATTTTAAAGGTTTATTTTCATGAAGGAATTATGTGGATTCTTATAATATTTCAATATAAAGGCTTTATTTCTCATGCTTCAATTAATATTGTTCCTTTTACATATACATGCTAAATATACATTAATTAGTTTAGATATTTGCTTGCCAAAAGCATTCACAGGACTTCATTTATAGGCAAAGTATCCAATACAGCAGCAGCAGTAAAATGATACTCATTTAAGAGACCTAGAAATCTCAGATGTAGAAATCTCAGGTTCTTATCCTTGGACATGTGTTTTCTCCAAATTATAACGCATCACTGGCTTATGTATAAAGCATCTCTGTATGAGGAATCCTAATGCCTCTTTTTGGCGGAGAGCTATGAGATGGTCAGGTAAGCACTTTGCATCTACGTAACCAACCTCAACCTGTGTGACTGCCCAGTCTCCACCAAAATCAGGTACAAGTCATAAATCCAGTTGCGATTGCTAAAAACAATGCTTACAGACTGGTGTGTTGTACCCCTAAACAACTCAGGAACCTATGGTTGTAAACATCACTTACCTTGGTCGTAGCTTTGGCCAAGTGTCAGTACCATGTTCCAGGCAGCTCTGGAGATAAGTATGGGTCAATCCAGAACACCTGAGATTAACCTGTACAATATTGAATAAGATTGATCATCTAGAAACATTGTAGTATACTTTTGAATAATAATGACATAGTGAAAATTCCAAATTCTACCAGAGAAACCCCCTACCTATGAGAAAAAATGACATTTACACCAGACTATTCATCAGCGTTGCTGGATGCAAGAAAACATTGGAACAGTATCTTATTAGGCCGTTAAATATGAAATTCCAATTTCTAATCAAAAGTTTAGTTTATTATATTATCTCAAACAAGCATACAATTAATCAAAGTGTGCGCCTAAACTATTGACACAGTTTCGCCATCTTAATGGTAGCTTGTTTATGCCAGCAGCTAAGAAGCCTGGAGAGTGAATGGCAATGAAATCTCAAAAGGTGTTTTCCACAGCTTGTTGAGAATTGCATATTTTTCCTTGCAAGAAGTGGTCCAAAACCTGGAGAAAGTGGTAATCAGTTGGTGCAAGATCTGGTGAATATGTGGTAGATGACAGAGTTTCTAAGTCCAGCTTCTGTAGTTTGAACAGCATCGTTTGTCTGACACATGGTTGAACTTTGTCTTGCAAGAGGATTGGCCTGTCTCTCTTGACCAGTCTCACCTGTGTAATCGCAAGCATCCTCATCATTTCATCCAACTGGTTGCAATAGACATCCACTGTAATCGATTGACTAGGCTGCATGAAGCTGTGGTGGACAATACCAGCGCTGGAGCACCAAACAGACACTATTAGCTTTTTTTTTTTTTTTTTAAATGAAAATTTGGTTTTGGACTGTGTTTTGGCGCTTCATCTTTATCCAGCCATTGTGCTGAATGCTTGTGATCAGTTGTCAAACAGAATCCTTTTTCATCACACATACCAATATGGTGTGGAAAGGTTCACCTTTATGTCACGAGAGCAAAGAAAGGGCAAGCTTCAAGATGATTTCTTTTCTGACATTCGTTTAATTCATGCGGAACCCATCTATCCAGCTTCTTTACCTTGCTGATTCGTTTCAAATGGTCCAATATTGTTGGAATAGTAATGTCAAACTTTGCTGCTAATTCCCACGTAGGTTGAGATGGACTTGCTTCCACTACAGCTTTCAGCTCACCATTATCCACCTTGGTCTCAGGTCACCCATATGGCTCATTTTCCAGATTGAAATCACCAGAATGGAACTTCTCAAACCATTGATGTGTACTGTGCATTCATTAGCCACATCCTTTCCAAACACTTCGTTGATATTTCGAGTTGTCTGCACTGCATTGGGTTCCACAACAGAACTTATATTCAAAAATAACATGAATTTTTGACTTATCCATGGTTTCCAAAAAATTGCTCTAAAAAAAATTTGAAAGATAGTCACAGCCAAACTGTGCATTTGAAAGACTGTGGATGTACCTTCACAATAAAAATAAAACAAATAGTGTCAAAGTGAAATGTCAGAGATACCAACTGTCAAACTTAGTACTTAAGGAAATCAGACATTTCATACTTAATAACCTAATAAAAGAGTTCAGGGAAAATAACTTTTACCTCAGAAGTCTCTATCTGATAAATTATCAATCTAGGTAATATGGAATGAAGGTATCTGCAGAGAAATAGTAATATAGAAAGTTAATCATCATACTCGCTACCTTGTGTGTGATTTTCCTTTCACCTCTCTTACATTCTTATAGTCTCTTAAAGCTACAAACATGATTTAATCCAACTCTCTGCCATTCCTCACCTGTCCGCATGCTCTGATTGGTCTCATTCAAGATTTAAAACCTTAGTGTTGCCTAGCTGTCATGCCGTATTTCCCCTGTCCTGTTCTCCTAGACAACCACTTAACACTTTCTTTAACCTACCAT